ATTAAGAAATTATAATAAAAAAAGATTGACCATGCCACAAGCATAACCTTGACTGGCTCAAAGGTGCTATAAAACAAGGGTTAATCTCGAGAATCTTAATTTTTTTAAACAAAAATTTCCTAGAGGTTTCAAATTATTCGTTCATTTGTTGAAGTCTGTGAAGTAGACCATAATATTTACAAAAACGGGACCTCAATTTGTGACTCAAATCCCTCTTTCTTGCGATCGGCTGAAGCTAGCCCCATGATCTTTTCAAACACGTTGCAAGAGTGAATGAAACTAGTTTAAGGTAAAATTACATTTCAAAAGCGCTTCGTTTCCTATAGATAATGGCTAAATATCACTGAGATTGTCCAGTTTTACACTAAATTTCCAACAATTAAAACTTCATCCCAAAATATCTCCCGAATGCTCTTACAGATTTCACTGAAACTTCGCCAAGAAAAGTGCCGAGAAATACGGCTGGAAGTAAAGTAGATAATGGGGTCATTTCGTCGCTATGACAACTCTGATGTCATTGTAACCCTGATCATAACAAATTTTCATACAGCTGTGGTAGTAACTTTTCCAAATCTTTGTTAATTACTACGTAGCTAATGCTCAAAGATGTAAGAAATTAACCCCAAAAATCTCCATTGAGCCACTTTAAGTCCTTAACAAGCAGAGCATGTGATTTTCTTTTCTTTTTAAAATATTGTTTCAAAGAACAGGACGACTTTTTTCTTAATTGTATATATTCTTCTAATGGGGCTTCAAAGGCTATGTACACAAACTACATATTTCAGATAATTATTTTACAAATCTTCATTGCTTTATACTATGACGACACACACACCAAAGGTTTTTAAACTTCTTCTATGTATGATAATGATCCTGCAACTTAATTTAAGGGAAAGTTTCTATAGTATTATTGTAACATTTAAATTTGGGCTTGCTAGTAGTACAAGGCTACATTTTTATGTTTGTCAAAAAATAGACCTCTTTAGTTTGAGTGTTTTGTTTTTCCAGTGTGAGTCATGCGATGTTTTCAAGGGAACTTGATTTATTGTTTCATAAATTATGTGTATGTTGCAGTTAATTTTTTATTTTAATTAATTTTTGTTTTTCCTTTGTTTTAAATTCATTAGCATACATTACCATGCCCAAAAAGCAATGGAAAAATAAAAATTACCTAAGATAAAAAATTAACTGCAACATATACATTTGAATGTCCGTGGAATGAAATGTGAAAGAAACAGTTCTTTACATGATCTGCATTGGGGAAATAAGGCGTAGAAGTCAAAAAGGTCTATTATTGTAATCATGGCTATCACGTACAAAACTAAGTTCTGTACAGGTGCATATTTGGAGGAGAACCTGAACCACAAAGATTTTGTTTTATGCTTTACCAAAAACTCACTGAACTCAAGAAAAAATTAGTTAAAGATTATTCTTACCAACTATTTGACATGGAACAAAAGACGTATTATCTACAGATGTGCTTAGAAAGGAAATTAAGAAAATAAAATGTTTATCTAGTTTCTTTTGATCTGAATTAAATAGCTGAGTTTGAGATCCAATTCTCTTTGCAAAATAAATCCAAAACCTATAATTGGAAGAAATTATGAACTGATCTACAATATCGTTTTTTTTCAAAGATGTTTAGAGCTTGTAATGGGAGCCAGTTATATCAGCCCCTACAATCCCCTGCTTTGAGCTAGCTTGGGACTGTCAAGGCAAACATGACACTGTTTTTACACTGACACTGACATTACTCAGTATCACACAATACTAAACTAAAGATAATGGCCTCTAAAGGTTTCTGGGATGGTATTGTTGGGATCCTGGAACTGTCGAATCCATACCTGACTAGTTTCAACTGCAATTTTGCTACCCTATTCTTAACTAGACATGGTAAAAAAGTCTTTACCCTACTCTAGTCTAACTATAAACCTCTATTCTCGACCAAAATTCTGTGATTTCTATACCTCATCCTAGAATAACTGCACGTGTAGTGTTCCCCAGTCCCCACCCCCTGGATAATCGACTGCTTTTTTCTGAAATTGTCAAAAAACTGTTGAGACCTTTGGAATACTCTTAAAGTGAGCCACAATCACTAAATTGTCACAGACTACAAGGCTGCAAATAAAAGTCGGTCACTGGGGAATGGCTGACCAAAATTTACCCATATCCCATGAATAATCAGACATCATGCCTGGCATTTAAATCATCTATAACAAGATCCTTTTAATTAAGCAATTTAACAGCTCATAACTACTCTTTTATACTTCTTCATAATTATTACATACATACATACATACATACATACTTTATTGACTTTCCCAAGGGGCTTTTCAAAGACAATACATGATCCTATTTACAATTAAGAAATGTTTTAAAATATATTATATTATTACGAAAAAAGCACATTAAGAAAAGCAGACAAATTTTATCACAATCAGATAATGAGATTTCCAACTAAATATTTGTTTTGTCCAATTCAAAAGGTGACTTACTTGACCTTGAAAGGAAAAAATTATTTGCAGCCCTGAAAGATCTGTAAAAAAAATTAAAGAACCTTGCATTTGAAAGTTTACTTAAAGTAAATAAGTATTGGAACTGTTTCAAATATTAAATTGGATGAAACCTAACTGTCAGTAACCAGATACAAGTTCGTTAATTACACAATGTTTACCCTTAGTTCAACTTAATCAAAGGGTACAAGGCAGATAACCAAGCTCATCTGTATCGAGAGACCTCTCTTGTTGTGATCGAGCACTACTCGAAGAGAAAAAAGCTACAAAACTAAAACAAACAAACAAACAAACAAAAAGAACAGTTTAACAAGTGCTTTCAAAAGTGGCCCAGTAAAAATCGCTGAATTCCTTCTTTGCAGGCTTGTAATGCTGCTGATTTGCCAGGGTTTTTAGTTTCCAACTGTACGTCACGTGACTTAGCCATTCGTCTTCTCAGCTTGGATAGATAGCTTACCGTCAAGTAAATATTTCATGAATCCTTTAATGTCAGTAGTCTACTTGACAAGCCCGCACAGCTAACAGTTTTAACAGAATAAACAGCGGCACATGAATCACAGCGTAGTCTAAGTCTCGAATGCCCTCCAACCGCTGACAAAGAGTTATCTTAAAAGTTACTAATAACGCTATCACAACAGAACTCCAAAACGTCCTCATCGCTGCTAGACGCTTATCACCGGCTAAATAAAGTCTTATGATCACAATGGCTGAGAAATAAGCCACGCAACCGTCACAAACAAAGAGCGGAATAAATACCGTCCACCATGACATTTCTCCGTCTTCCAATTTCACAGCCACCAACACAGAAAATACAAAAAGTGCCACGATATGAAGCCATAATTCGAAGATCGATAGTCCCAGCCATTTGATGACTTCCTTAAGTGTAAAAATCATGCTAAGAAGATGGTGTTATAGCGACGTACAAAGCCACAAAATTGTGTTTGTTGTCACGTACCAACTCTTTTCCAAGAATCCGCCGCCATCTTTTTTGGTCTATTTCTTCAAACCGCTAGGACTTCTGGGTTTCATATATTGCGCTGGGGGGAGGAGGGAAACGAGAAAAGTAAATTTTTCATCTAAAATTGCATCAGTATTTAATTGGAGATAACGTTGAATTCCTTTTTTAAATGCTGCTAATCGACATACAATTATCCAGTTCTATCCAGTTCTCATTTTAAGTATTTCTTCATGTAAGATTACGCCGCTGTTTATTTCAAGGGAGCCCTCCCTGGAGTTGTATTACGTTGCATGGGAGAGAGGTTGGCGGTAATCTTCGAACGCGAAAACTGACAAAATGGCGACCAGATCGCGAAAAGATTGGCTTTCGCCGCACAAAGTATCTCTCTTAATCCTCATCAAATACATCAGTTCTTCAGATGACGAACAAGAAGATTATTTAGATTGCTTAAGAAGATCTAGGCATAAATTATCTTTACTACTGCTGGAATTTTTCGAGGTACCTTTATTTAGCAGCAAGCTGAAGTTTTATTGAAATTGATTTCGCTTTATACAACAGGGCCGAGTTGTTCAAAGCTGGGTTAAGATAACCCAGGGTTAGTGCGAGATTTGAATTCAGATATGAAAGCTTAAAAATCATTTCAGTTTTAATTCTTTTTGTCGACAAGTTGCTTTTCGAAAACTTTAAAAATAACAGAGGAAATTAAATATCCGAGAAAATGCTTTTAAACACAAGAAAAAGAAACCCGGGTTAAATTTAACCTCGGGTGAAACGCTAATCGCCCTTCGAACAACTGGGCCCAGATAGTTTGTGGTACTTTAATTTATTTTTCTTGGATATGAAAATAATGCTCATGTTAATTCGTCCATTTTTTTTTTCTCTTGGGTAGAAGCATGGTCACCATTTTTGGCGTGAGTGTTTTAATTTGACCCCTAAGTCATAAAGGTGGCTGTCCGCACTTGATGGCCGAGAACTAGTGCCTGGGTACAAGCACAAAATGATGTTGTGTTCACACCTTGGGTACCCGATGTGTTCTGTGTACATGTTTGCTCCATTCTCCCTACCACATGCCACTCTGAAATGTGAGCTCAGCACTGAGTACAAAGTGGTGGATTGCCCCAGAACTAACATAAACACAAGGACCCGGTATCCACTTCAGTTTCCTAGTGCAAGATCTCAACCTTGTACTCACTGGTGCCTAAATTCTAGCATGGGTACTTTAGAAAAGAGTGCATTCACATTAGTGCATAGTGAATACTGTACTCAGGCATCATGCCCAGGCACCAAGTGTGAATGCTGCTTTAGTGTGTGAGTACCAAAAGAGGGTCTTCAGTGTGGGCTGTGTGCTGCTGGTACTCTTAAATGCTAATATCACTTTAACTTTAGACCAGTTTTGGCTGCATTTTTGAGGCCTAGACACTCATGGTAGAAATTCCTCCTCTTTTGCAGTTTTTTTACATGCCTGGTGAGCTTCTAGCATACTAGTTACCCAATGTACTGACTGCCCTTACTAATAATCCCCCCCCCCTTATGAGGCATGACAGTTTATAAGCTCCTCCACCTGTAGCTTAGTGCAGCATTTTATCATAAACTATCATGAGATAGGGTCTGGTTTGACTAACTTTTGGTACGGACATTTATGTCATCGAGTATGATTTTCCAATCAAAAATGGAATGTATCACCAGAAATTAAATAACCTTCTAGGGGACATCGCTTGATATGATGGCTTGTATTGTGTTCATGTTGAATGGGGGTAAAAATCAAAACCCCCAAAAATCCTTAGAGCTTCAAACAAAAGCCAAATTATCCCTAGACTAAAATTTAAGGTCCCCAAAAAATCCCATGCTGAATTTCCAATCCGTCAAAATTGCCAGAGGAACGATGCAGCTGGGATACAAGGGAACTATAACAAAACTTCAGATTATTTTGAGTACCCCAAAAAATCCCTACTTAAATCAAGCTACCTAAAAAATACCTGCCAAAATTTTCCTATCCAAAAAAATCCCGAAATCAAAATTTTCAAACCCAAAAAGATCCTTCAATCTTCCCTGTCATTTGAAATCCGGAGTACCCCCCTGGAGCTGTGTTTAATTGCAGAAATGTTATCCACTTCTGGCAAGGTGATTAGGTTATTCCGTGTGATGGGGAGGATTTTAAAGCCACTTGGTATGGGAAAGAGGTAGCTACAGGGAGCCTTTTTGTCTAGAAGAATAAAAAAATTGTTGAGATACAAATATAAATTGCAAATTAACATTTTCTTTCAGGCTCCAGATTTTGAACTGTCTGAAATGTGTAAACATATCAAGGCTGTGGATGTTGACTTGCAAAGTCTGCTCCTAAAAAGGTTGTTTGTTTTGATCTTTTAAAAATTATGTTAATAATTATTTGATTGCATTCAAATATCCATGGATATTTAATATCAGTGTTGTGTCTCTTTTTAAGCTTGAAGGGCTTAGCTGAGGATGGTGTTTCCGGCATTTCTGAATTTTTCCAGTCACTGGAAAAGCTTTTAACTGGCCAAGAACCTGCTTTACATAAGAAAAGTTTGTTTGGTACGTCTAAGATACAGCTGTGAGCACAGGGTAGCCTGCAAATACAGTTGTTTCTGCTCGCTCCCCTGTGCTAGGGATGTTTCGTTGAAGAGACATCTGAGCCTCAATGACAGAAATACCATACTGATTGCATAAAATCTGTCCTGTTTTGATTGGTTGATGAAGTTATTGTATTCCTTTTTGCTATTGTTTACAAATGCAGACAAAAGACAAGAAGTCATACTACAACAAAACAGTGACATTAATTATTTCTGAAATATATTCTTGTTTGGAAGAAGCATTTGAGTTTCGAGAGGGCACTATCAGTCATTCACTAATTAAAAGAAATCAACATTTTACAATAGTAGACCTGTAGAAACCATAACTGGAACAAATTTAAATTAGTAATTCATGACTACAAAATTGATTATGTAAACACTGATTTACATTATCAGTATGGAATTTCTCTTCTTAAGGCACAGGTATCTCTATCTATCCCTCATGGCGAAGAGCAAGGTCAGAGACAGCTGTATTCTTATGCTACTGTAAGGGATTACATACCAAAACTTGATCTAAGCCCAAGGGCAGGAGCGTTAGTAAAAAATATTATAAGTTAATAACTGGCTGGTTTTGTCTGAGGCCTTATTGGCCGTCTTTTTTTGATTCTGGTGATACTGCACAGTCAACTCTGTCTTGACTCTTTTAGTGCCAAGAGTTTTCTCTTAACAATATCCATATATATCCAATCTGGAGAATTTATATGTGAACATTGGGGCTTAAAGGATTAAAAGACGAGACAAGACATTTATTATCTTACTATTGTTTACAATTTCATGGCACGCAGTTAGCCAATGGACACTTCCTCAAGACAGACACTTCTTTTGAGTCAGACACCCGGTGTTGGTCTGGGCTCGTACCAGGCATTGTTCAGGAAAATGATCCTGCACTCTTCCCACTAAAAGACAGCTGGACGTGTGGGTTTGCTATTGTTGATTTCCACCAATCAAATTGTTTCCTGCACAAATTAATTTTTTTTTACCATTTTAAAAATTACTTCTCATCTTGCTATAGTAAGTTCTACAAGAAAGATATTGGGACAAAAGACAAATTTACATATTTTGTATTCTGATCAATGCCTGGGATTCAAGATCCAATGTTCATTTGCTGATAAAAGTTCTTTTCATGACATAGGTTTATTTACAAGAAGGATGGCATTGTCATTTCACAAGATGAGTTTTAGCCAAGTCAGCCATTTTGTAGACCTGCTGAAGATGTATTTGGACGACTGTGAAACAGATGTTCCTAACAATGAGATGGAAAGCAGCTTGGATGTTAGCATGCAGAGTGTGGAAAATGATGTGGAAGAAAATGGCTCCAGCAATACCAGGTTTAAATTGTACATTTTCTTTCACCCAGTAAACTGTTTTCTTTATAGATGTGCAGCCTGGGCAGGAGGAGCACTCCCTTATATGGCCTATATGGGATATGGCGCTGGACAGGGTCTGGTTTTTGACCTCTCTGTCCTAAACATGGTATATAAGTATGTGAGAGTCTTTCCCTATTATAAACAGGGTATTGCCTGCGCAACTGATTTGATTTGCTAAGAATTAAATTAAATTAAATTAATTTTATTTAAGCTAAAATTAAAAATTAATTTTCTTTAAGCTCGATAGCATGAGGAGTGGTTGCCCAATACCCCGAGCCAGGGGTTCATGTATTAAACGCTCGAGCATTCCGGATCGAATTGGAATTTAGAAATGTTGGTTTTTGCGGAGAGGGGAAAACTGGAGTACCCGGAGAAAAACCTCTCGGAGCAGAGAAGAGAACCAACAACAAACTCAACCCACATATGATGTCGAGTCCGGGAATCGAACCTGGGCCACATTGGTGGAAGGCGAGTGCTCTCACCACTGCGCCATCCCTGCTCCCCTGGACGAAATTGGTTGGTAATCCAACTATACAAAAGAAAATGACTATAACATGAATTTGCTCTACCCGAATTGCCAATAAATGGCTTGAAAACAACACAGTGTGTATTTCTCCTAAACAGGTTATGTATTTAAGGATCTTTCTGTCCTAAACAGGGTCAGGGTTTCAAACCCTCAGCAGCTCACCTATAGAACAAATATTGGTCGAGTACCCCCCTCCTCCCTCCGTTTAATTCCTTCCTCAAAATTTATGCAATCCTTATTATCATAATTTATTGTTGATTTGTGGTTCTGGATATAAGTTACTGAATAACACTAGTTTCCATATCTTACTGTTTAGAAAAACGTTCCTTCAGGGCTCTGTGTCAAACAGACAAGCTGAGTTCTTTCTGGCAAAACAGGTACTAATCAAAGATCAATTTCATAGAATCTGGCGGAAACAATTGTCGCTTAGCACTAGCTTTGTTCGATTTCAC